CTCAACTCTCTGTCGTTCCGCCAAACAAGTTGGCCTGTGATCTTGAGACAACTGAACTGCAACACCTTTCCTACAAAGAACAGCACGACAGTCACCGGCATTAGCAACAACCAGATGTCTTCCTAAAACCAGCGCAGTTATTGCTGTTGTCCCACAATAGGCATCAACACTACATTCATCAGCTAAGGCTTGGTCAGCAATTAAAAATGCTCTAAAATGAGAACTCTCCAATTCTTCCAAAAATGCTTGATCAACAGCAGATGTTTGTGGCAAATTAGCATCTTCAAAGAAAAATCTGATTGCATTAGTCCTGACATAAGCAGCTGCATCAGAACCTCCATGACCATCAAACACAGCATAGAAGGCACCTGGAAGAGGCCAATTGTATAGAGAACCTAACTGAGCTGAAAGATCATCAACACGAATATGCTCATCTTCATTGGATCTACGAGGTCCAATATCAGTATAGCTACCCGAACGAATAGCTGGGATAACATTACTGCTTCTAGCTGAATCAATTATAGTCGTCTGAGTATTAGTTGAGCATCTCACACCCTGCTAATTGCAAAATATATAAGGTCAGATCAAACCACGGGTACATTGCATTTCAACCACATATTCATATAACCAGTATCAACAAGCATTAAGAAAACAAAACTTATTCAATCATAACCAGAGTCCACAAAAGAAATGAGATAGTATAGTCAAATAACTCAATAAATCAACAAGCAACAACAAAAACCATCAGTTAATCATATGGAGAGACACAAATAAGAGTTTGAAAGTTAAAATCCATTTCTTTAGCAAATAGAAAAATCATTCAACTACAACTCAACCCCCCTTAGTTCAGTCAGATATATGAGTCCTCAGAGAATTCATCTTAGTTACACAATTTTGACACAGACCCTAAACTTAGCAGAACCCTCATTCTTTCAACTTGGACCTGTTATACTTTTGCAAAGTTTACATACGTAAAATCCCAGAATCGAACAACAACAACATACGCAATATAATCCCACAAGTAGAGTCTGAGGAGGAAGGATAGAGTGTATACAAACCTTACCACTATGTTGAGGCTGCTGTTTTCGAAAGCCCCTCACTCAATTCCAGAATTGAAAACAACTCAATATAGCAGATTTGAGTTTTTTACACCCTAATTCATAGCAATAATATCTATCAGATGAACTTTTTTTAACTCCAAACCCTAAATAATACTATATCAGGACCTCTAGGCAGATCCAATTCTTCACAGCAAACAAATACACAAAGAAAAACAAGGTGCTACAGAAAATAATTTCCCTGAAAAGGAGATAACCTAGGGTCAGCTGGACTAACAACTTTGAGATCCCCGATTCGAATCACAAAGCACAATATTAGGTAATTCTTCAAAATACGCAAAATTGCACACAAACTAACTCAAACAGTTACCAAAAATAGCAGAAGACAAAACTAGAAATCAAATCTGAAACTTTACCGAGTCAGAACGAGAAATATCAACAGAAACCAAATCAGCCGAGCGAAATTCACGAGATTTTGGACGAGAAGAAGACGTAGCAGTAGCCGAAACATCAAAGAAGTCCAAATCCTCATCGCCGATCACCGGTGCCGCCGTTGAAACTCCGATGTACTCAACGGAAACATTCGGCTGACACAAAATCTCCGCGTCTACTACCACCATCTTCGCCGCCGTCGTTGAATTCTTCACAATCATCAAATGAGTTAATCCAAAATTGAACAATAATTTGAAGCTTTTGTTTGGATTATGGATAAAATTTGTTTGTTAAAAACAGATTAGGGTTTAATTAATCGTTGAAATAGAAGTAAAAGCAAGTTGCGTTCTTGAAGAAATTTATAGATTAATAATAATAGTCGGCTTAGTATTTACTCGGATTAAATAGGACGTGTGGTAGTAACGCGTGACGCAAAAAAAAAGAAAGCAAAATCGATTCTTACTCGGATTACATGATATTTTATTTAATCGTTCGGTGTCGAGTACTCACATACATAAAATTGAAATTATTTTATTTTTATATATGTCTATAAATATAAAAATAATATTTATTTGTGTTAGAATTGATGACAAGTTTATAATGTCTATGTATGTAATGAGTATCCTAATATATCAATATATTTGAATTAAATTCTTAAAATGACAGATATTTTTAATAAGGACGATAATAATTTTGATACGAGAAGAATAACTAATCAACCACTTGATAATATGCCATTTACTTGGTTTCCAATTATACACGAAAGCTTGATTGACTTTTTAAGAAGGAAAATTTTGAAAATTAAATTAAATGCTATTATGAGAGACCTTATTTTTTAAAAATCTAATTAAGAGGCAGAAAGGAAGGAATAATCTTAATTAAGATAATGGGGTTATTCTTGCTAATTAATATGTTCATATTAGAGCCTCTAAAAGGCTTTTTAATTTATTTTATTCTTTATTTAGACACCTAATCCTTTAGGAGAGAATAATTACAAGTATGGTAATGTTATTAAAAATGTACTCTATTTGCTAGTAGAATTTTATCACTTAATCATGATTAGTCCATATAAATTTATTATCATTTCATTAAATTATTTAATTAATAATTATTATTTAATTTGATATAAATATAAGGTGTAAATAAAATTTACTATATATGATGATGGTATCACCTGTTACGCGAAAGTATTTGTATCAAAATCAATATATATACGTTGCACCCGTAAGTCCGTAACATCAATGATCCAAGTTATTTTGAAATTTCAATCATTGACATATTTTTTACTTATTCTTGAAGGTCAAACCATGTTATCACACATTAAGATTACACTAACACTATCAATTTTCAAATTAATAATCGCTCACGCATAGAAATGACAAACTAACAAATTGATTCAAATATAGACATTACGAAAATGAATTTAACAAAAATAGATAAAATATCCGATACGTCCATATTTAACACAAATAAGTCACACGGCATGATTTCCACTTCATACGATAACCTAAATTAAGTATTGTTTTTAATCATAACTAAAGGTAGGTTATTTCAAAATTTTGTCTATTCAGATAGTTCGATATATCAAACTCTCAATAGGCATGACGTTCAGAAAAGAATTGAATGAAAAATGATTTATTATACACAATCTTACTCTATATTTTTACAAGAGATTATTTTTACAACTCGATCAAAACTCTCATCACGTGTTTATCCAAACAAACAAGTCATTTTCATTTGTTGAAACAATGGCTAGGGTCAAGAAGTATCCTTTTCTTTCTAGATAGTTCTACAAATATAATATATATGTCAAAATTCTTCAATCCAATTAAAACGTCACTAATCACGTTAATAATATATTTATTCGTTAAAAGTATAACAAATGGAGAAATATTTATTATTTTCAAGTTAAGTCTACGTTGACTTTAATAAATAATACTCTGTATTTTCCATTAATTTTAAAGGTATAATACATTAGTTTTCATTAAATTGAAATTGTACAAAAGACAAAGAAAGGGGTAAAGGAAAACTAGAACAAGCAACTATCAAGGTCCATTCAATTGTAGAAAATTATATTATGCATATAGGATTACAATAACCTTTTTGTATATATTGTTTGAGTGACACGTAACCTATTTTTAATCCTCTTGATAAAATTCCTGATATAATTTTAAAAATAAGGTGGAAGACTCGAGAAAGAATGGAATATACAAAAAAACCTTATTATTTTAATTAAATCTTCAGCTCAATAAGAACACGATTAAGTCCAAAACGAGCACAACCACATTAAGCTTGGTAGGTAAAGTGACACGAAAGTCGAAAACAAACACATAAAAAGTCAAAACACTAACTCTAGTAGGACCAAGCACTCAAAAAAGATGCCAATAGTCAACAGGTAATGGGATATTAGTATAGTATTGGACTTCAACTTTTGTACACTAATATTGTATAGTAATTCTTGAAGAGGTAGAGGGTAGACCGAGGAAGAATTGGGAACAAGACATGACATATTTTTAGCTTATCGAATACATTATTCCTAATAGGAGAATATGGAGATCGAAGAATGGAGTAAAATGTTAGTAAATAGTCGAACATTATTGTCTCTCTTTTTTATGGGAGAGGAGGTTCCAGTTCGGAGCATCTAGGGGTGTGTAAAAATCGAAACAACTGATAAATCAAATCGAAAAAGTGTTATTTTGTTATTGGATTAACGATTTTTTAATGGTTTTATAAAAAAAATAATTATCGGGTTATCGATTCAGTATTGATTTTTAATATTGGGTAAATCGATAACCCATTAAGACTAATAATTTACTATATTTACTTGTACATAAATATTAGTATATATTAATCTCAATACCTTACTAGTTACTGTTTTTATCCTCTTTAGCCTTCAATTCACACTTATGTCAAAATCTAAAGTAAGAACCCTATTCCTTTTAATTTCTCTTTGAGTTACACTTGTATAATTTTTTCATTACATTATTGTGTTGTCACAGTTGTTGCGTCAAATTTATTAGAGAAGTCATATATTTATTTTATAAGTATTATCTTATTGGTTAAATCGAAAAACCGAACCATTAAGGACCAAAACCGATAAACTGAAAACCAAACCATTAAGGACCAAAACCGATAAACCGAAAACTAATAAAAAAATCTCTTATTGATTTAACATATTTAAAAACCGATAAACCAAACCGAACCGACCGATGCACCCCCGAGCACCTCTTATTTGCTCCCTCTTCTCGTTATTAGTATTATTATTATTTCATCATTATCTTATTCTTCAATTTTATTATTACTGTTGTTTCATTTACTTTAATTATCTTTACTATATTTTATGTCAATACTTTCCTTTTTTCGATATTTTCATTTCAAACCTATTTTGAAAAATGCTTTTCCTGAGCTTAGTGTCAATACGAAACAACCACTCTATCCCCACAAAGACTGGGGTAAGATCTGCGTACACATCACTCATCCCATACTGGGTATGTTGTCATTGTCATAGTATATGTATAAATATATTTAGTATCTATTACTCCTTTTTCAACATTCAACATCAGCTTACCAACACAACATAAGATGGCACATAGGAATAACAACAATATAGTGCCAATGAAACAATATACAATTGCAGTTTGATGACCTTTGTCAGAGAATAAACAAACAGAATCATATTTGAAACCATTATATCTGCAAAAAGATTGTACTCACTAGTTGATTTGCAACGTTCAGGATTACAGCACGATCACTCGCAGCAGTTTGGTTCGTGTTCTTTCTGCAGTTTCTCCCACAGACATAGTACCATCCTCGAATTCTGATAATGTGCAAGAATATAGCCTGATTCACAACCGGCATTGTAAAACCTTTCATCGTTAACATACTGTATTTTGTGACCCTTCCTCCTGAATTCCTCAATCCAAATGCCCACAGCAACATCCTCAAGTTTAAAAAGCTGGCAGAACATCACAAACAAAACAAATTTAGCATATTGAGTAGAATTTCGACTTGGGAAATTTGTCTCACGTGTTTCTTCTCTTTTCTTTTCTTTTCTTTTTTTGGTTCAAACGATAAGACGATTGTATATAACAGAGAATAATGTTAACATCCGTAGTTTTTCTATACTAGATAATTCCTAGTTGTTATGCTTCCATAACATCTAAAACAAACAAAGGAGGAACTCCAGAAAGCAAAATGTTGCTATTTTTATGCAGTATTTCACTTTTTTCTATTTAGTCTGATGATTATGATATAAAATGAGCTTAAATGAAAAAGTCAAATTCATATAGCCGACCCCAACTTGTATTAGACTGAAGCGTACTTGTTGTATTTTGCTTCTTTCTATTGATGATACGGATAAGATTCTTTCAGTAAGTTGATTATTGGTTTGGTACCATTTTCTTTCAAGTCATATAAGATCAAAATAAATGGTGCAATTATTCATCTTTCTCCTTGTAACTATCTTTGTACTAGTAATTCATGGTTGATAAGAAGGCAGAGAGATCAGGTCAAAACAAAAAATGAAAAAAAATAAAAAATCAGGACAATAAGACTGAGTGTTACCATCAGTTCCATTTCTTGATGGCCCTGAACAATGAACTTAGCTATATCTCGAGAAATAATATAACCTGGTCCATGTGCCCATGGGGGATAGGAAGCAGGCGGATATTCCTGCAGAAGGGAACTGTGATTAAGGAGGTTGTACTATTGCTATACGAAGACACGAGTTTAGAAATAAATACCTCAGGACTGATATACCACTTGTTTTCTTTATCCCTGTGGGGTGCTGACTCAAAAGATATTCCACCATATAATAGACCATTAGGATCCTTTCCCTTGAGGCTAGATAGAACTTCATCAATCCTTACAAAAGCATCATCATCAGTCTTCATAACATATTTGGCAGGTAGGATTTTAACCTGCAATTTAAGCACACCAACGCTTTAGCCAAATATTCTATCGAACTTTCAAATGAGCATGTAAATGCAGTCAAATAACATTCCTATTGGATATGTTTCTTCTTGTCAGATGAGAAATTCAATATATAGAGAGTGTGCATAGCACTGGGATTGTGGAAATAATCCTGATACATTTTCATATTTAAGGAGTTGTAATAATCCGTAAATCACATTTTAGTTTAAGGATATAGAAAGGGATACTTTATACAGTTATACACATACCAGAAACCTATGTACGCAATCAAAAAACCTTCATACACTACATATTCTCCAAAATGAATTCTGTAGTAAGACTTTTTTCCACTTCACCCCATCGGGAGGATCAATAGTGTTCCCAATTATTCTCCAGTGTGACTCGAACCTTCAACCAACCAGTTGATGGTGGAGATACTCAACTACTAGAGCTAGCCTCACTTGTCAATTGTGTAGGAAGGCTTTATAAAGCTTTTCTTGGAGTTTATGTAATACTATCCTTCAGCAATTATAAATAAAAGAAGACTCAAATTTGTAACTGATAATTAAATTCAATTTTTACTCATAAATACTTGAAAGTCCTTACACCCATAATGCAAATTGCTATGGTCTTCAAAGTGAGCAGGCTGTAGTAATCAACAAAAGGCAATAATTGGATATCTCCATAGGCTTGTGCTTCCTTCCATAGCTCAAAATTGACCTGCCTATTTTTGTCCTGCATTTGTTTTTAAAAGGACATATACGTAATGATCAATACCTAATATCAGCAACGAAAAAATATTAGACAAAGTAATTGAGCAACAAAGGCTAAACAACAATATCTTAAGAGGTAAACTCGCGATAAATTGCAAGAACATAAGCCGAGCAATTACAAATAAAAGTACTCCTATAGAAGTGTAACATGAAAACGAGATGGGAAAGTCTCAATAGCAAAGGCCAACATAGAAGAGACAAAGCACAATCACAATAGATGCAGTGAGTTGATTCAGAATGCCAAAAATCTAGACCATCAGAAGGACCAACTACCAAGCGCCACCAAAAAACAATCAAAGGAGGACTGTAGCAACCTTACTATATTTAGTACTCCCTCTATTTCAATTTGTTTGTCTAGTTCGCACGAAGTTTAAGAAAGTAAATAAGACTTTTGAATGTTCTGTTACCTTTGTCAAAAAAAATAAGACTTTTGAATGTTGTGGTCTTAAGCTAAAGATATGTAGAATGTATCAAAATACCCATTAATCTTGTGATTTGAAACATGTCAGGTGGAATGTCAGGTGGAAAGTTAGAATTAAAGAGTTGCCAAAAAAGGAAAGACGCTTTCTTTTTTAAACAAACTAAAAAGGAAAGTAAGACAAACAAATTGAAATGGAGGGTGTATTTGAAATAGATGGAGAATATGAAAATTAGTGTCTACAATAACTACTTCCAGTTGAAGGTCTCACTTACAAGACCAATAAAAAATCGGACAGCTACTTCTCCTGACCGCACAGCTTCATATTGCATCCATGATTTCCTTAGTGCCATACGTCTCTCAAAATTGTTTCCAGTAGAGAAAATCCCAATTAACATGACAAGTCTCTTTTTACGAGTTAATGGAGCTTTGAGGTGCTCAACATCATCACCCAAGTTAAAATCATTGGACACAGGTAATCCTTTCGCTAAGATCGATATGGTGTCCACACCACCTATCACATTGACTCCACTAACCAACCAAGGTTCGAGTTTCTGCATTTATAGAAACACAGCACTATAAAAGGAGTTCTCCATAAAATTCATGCAACAGTTCCAAAAGATAATAAAGCTCAGTGATCTAGCTGAAACTACAAACACTAACCTCTCTATATGCAAAAGACGTCTCGTGTCTTCCGTTGACTGTCATATGGAACCCCTCTATACCAGCCCATAGTGTTGCAGTAAATGGATTACCTTCAAGAAAAGGGTAGTTGGCAGTACCGTAGGCACTAGAATTTGATACATCTGAAGACTTTGGATTGCTGGTATTGGTCATATTTGCAGTTTCTTCTACATTATTTCGGAAAATTTTGGCATTGCATTTGACTAATCCATCAACTGATATATGTAGGAAGAATATGTCAGATTACAAGATTATTATGAGCAATGGAAACAATAAGGTGCTAACTACTCCTGGATGTTTATTAAAAATATTGGTCACTGAAGAAGGATCACCACTTCACTACAGTCAACAATTGAAATACTCGTCTATAGGGCTACCGTCCTATTTGCACTGGTAAGAACACAGAACTTAGAGATTTGACAGAATACAGTGCCCTACGTCATGATAATCTAGGCCAAAGTACATGCTATCCAATAAGCTTGGTATCATCAAATAAATTTTAAAAAAATTGGCAATTCGTTTACTGGAAAATCGAACTACAAGTCCATATGGCTTTCTTCAATATGCAAATGGTGATATGACTTATCAAAGAGCATGATAGGAACAATTCTTTTTCAAGCAAATGCTGAGTTGGTGACTCATTGAATGGTTGAGTTCATAATAACAAGCTTATCAAAGACTTAAAATTTGTAACTTAATTCACTAAATGACAACTTTCTTCATCATGTCACACGGTCGAACCCACTACTTTGTGATGATATAAGAGCAACACATCTATACCTCTCTTGCTTTGACCTGAAGCTGGTCACAAATCATTACATAAAGTTCTATTACTATCTGTTTGAAAGCTTGCAACATCAGATAATTTTCAGCTAAGTTGCGTGGACTCTTCACTTCCAATGCCACACCCGTGTCGGATTCTCCAAAATACACTACTTTTGATGAATCCGACGCACACCCATTGACATTTTTGAAGAGTCTGAGCAACGTAGATTTTCAGAGAAGGGTTGCAGAATCCAATCAATGCAGCTTACAAAAACCCACCCAAATAGAATGAATCCTTCTCTAAAAAGCACCCTTGTAGAAACTAGCAAGTAAGATGGCATCTAAGATAGAAAACTATCTCTAACAAAGATATACAAGATTACATATAACCGTTTTCCCTGAATGAACACAAATTAGAAGATGAAAAGATGCTCTAAGTAAGTTTTTTGTATGATTTACCTTTTATCACGTCGGTAGAGCCATGATCAGGGCACTTTTCCACCTTACCCCACCCGGATTCATTAGTCCATGTATTTTGAGTAATAAGGGGATCCTTTGTCAAGTTCTCCCCGGGTAAAATTACATTATAATTCAAAACTATAGGAGGATTTGTTTCCTCTGGAAGTTTCGAACCTACCAGCTCAATTTGAAAACCTTCTTGTTTTGCATCAGGTATGCCTATCACAGTAATAGATGAATCCTCAACTAAGCCACAAGGGATCCTAAGACTGCTCCCGTCCTTCAACGTCGCGGTATTGAATGCAGTCACAGAATAAGGACAATCCTGTTTTTCCTTCTCATCTTGAACTTTACTTTTCTCAATGAACGACACCAAATCTTTCCATGATATAGCAGCCTCCTTAACTCCTTGAGCAGTTCCATTCAAACCATCTGATCTAGACAACAACAATCTCATCTTGCCCCATGCTAGCAATGCCTTAGACTCTTCTGTCGAAAAATTATTCAAGCTGTATAGATCATTAAGCCCTTCGACATCAATAAGATGTGGTTTTTCCTTAAAACTTACTAGCTCTACTGGTTTCAGATCAGACAACTTGGCATTTTCATCTTTTGAACCTTCATTAATGTCCGGATGGTCATTGAAAAACCCATAAACTGATTGCTTTTTCGGAGATTCTTCCACACTGCTGTCTGATTTTTCTACAATGCTGTATGATTTTTCTACACTACTATATCGAATCAACAAAACCATTGCAAGACCAATAATAAGCAGACATCCAGCCCATCTCTTCCTTCCCACTTTTCTAATTAATAAATACTTCTTCATTCCCACTATACTTCAGCTTGTACTTAACTAATGCTCCACTCAAGGTCTCGTGTTCAAGCCCTCGGTATAAAGTCCCCTTTATTAGGAAACACTTTACCCCCTAATGTGAGACTTCTCGACGTGAATCAAGATTTAATCAAAGCTCCAATATGAGTACCATACACCAGGTGGAAACCCAAAAAAGAAAAACTAGCGTTCCACCACAGTGAATCAAATCCTTAGTTTTCAACACCCAAGAACTGATAAACTTGAATTTGCAGTTTTGCACCTAACCCCATCACTAAAATCTTCACACACCTCAGCTAATATATGCAGATTTCAACATTCTTGAAACTTGAAAAAAATCAACTTTCTGCCTCTCTTTCTTCTATACTTCTCTCTTTTACAGTAAAATGAACTTCACAAAGTAAAAAAGTTCACTTTTTTTTCAAGAAAATGGGGAAAAACAAAAACTAGTAAAAGATCAAGAAACAAAACAATAAGCACTAAAATTAACCAAACCTCTGGATCTGCACAGGGAAAAAAACAAAACTTTCTTGATTTCCACTGCAAAATGAGCTGAATTTGAATTTGGGAAGTTGGTATTTGAGAGTTTACTTGTCTACAACATTACTTCTTCTTCTTCATTCAGCTTAGCTCAGAGCTATGAACAAGAATTCAGTAGAAAACTTTCTGTTGAAGCAAAACGACGACGCATTGTAAACTCCAAAGAGTCAGCACTATATTTTTGCGTATAACTAAAAAAAAATAACATATTTTATATGGTTAACTTAATTATTTAATAGATGAATTGAAAATTTTGAATTGGCAATGTCTAAAAAAAATATTTTATTAGAAGTCAAGTGTTTAGTTAAAATAAAGTTTAATTTGAATGCCAAAATGAAATATCCTTTCAAATTTAACGGATGATTTTGGAGAAAATGATCAAAATGGTCCTTGATGTATTGGGGTTGCTTTATTTTGGTCCTCAATATATTCTAGGTGATTGAAATAGTCCTTCATGTATGACAAAATGTGTTCAATTTAGTCTTTACCCTAAACTTAACATTTTACCTCCAAAAACTGTTAAATATAATGGTGGGCTCCACCGTTATATTTAACCGTTGGTAAAATGTTAAGTTTAGGGTAAAAGACTAAATTGAACACATTTTGACATACATGAAGGACTATTTCAATCACCTAAAATATATTGAGGACCAAAATAAAGCAACACCAATACATCAAGGACCATTTTGATCATTTTCTCGATGATTTTGTATCAAATCTTTAGTTAATTATCCTTATAGCATGAAGGGGAAAGGGATAAATGTATTAGTTGAAATTATTTAAATTTTCCTCATATTAAGCTTTTAGTCTATCAATTTTAGTTTTACTGATCTAAATTTATCCATATTTTTTTATTATATATAATTTAATTAATTTAATAATAGAAAAAAGGAATTTATACAAACTCGCTCTTCAAAATATATAATATAGAGATTCAACTATTATTAATTGCTACTGTCCAAAAATTAGAAGTATCTTTGTTATAATAGTTGAACTCGACACATCGTATTTATTATCTTAAAAATTGAATGTATAGAATATAATTTTTCTATAAATAAATAAAGCTTAGTTAACTATTGAGACATGGTGGATTAATAGGGTTTCTTAACCTAACATGGCAAGGTGATCCCTATGTATATATGCATATCCAATTTTATTTTAGGGCATATCCTTATTTATTTATTTTGTTGAAATGAAAGGGGTTGATAATATGTTGCCTAATATCCTTGGAAGGTAGGGAGGTTTTCTCGATAAAAAGCGCACGCAATAACAAAATAGCAACAACATACCTAATATATTATGTGGATTTTATTTCTATCTTAAAAGATAGAAAAATCATTTCCGATAGAAAGCATATGAAATCACAACAACAACATATCCAAGTATAATTCTACATAGGGGGTGATAAAATGAACCCAGATATATGTAACCTGCCCAATTCGTCCAAAATTTTATGGGTTGGGCTTAAGATAATTTGAATTGGGTTCAATCTCAACTCATTTAAGCATTAATCCATTTTAAATAAATCCTCAATTGATCTCAAATTAATCTCTCATTTCAACCCGTTTTAAGACTCTTTATTTGCGTTGATGTAATGTATGTTCTTATATAAAAAAAATATGAAGTACTATCTATTTTATATCTTCTAGGATTTATCTATCCATTTGTAACTTTTTTTTCTTGAGTTGAAATTCAAATTGTGGTTATAAAAATTAAATAACAATATGTAAAATATTGAGATTAAGCGGATCGGATTGGGTGGGTTATGACCCAATCCGTTTTTAGCCCATTTAAGTCCAACCCATTTGAGCCCAAAGTAAACTTGGGCGGGTCGGAACCCAACCCGATTTACTAGTACTAAACTCCAATTTCAACAACAACATACCCTGATCTCACAAGTAGGATTTGAAGAAGGCAAAAAATACATTGACATATATCTTATCCTTACCTCATAATAATAGAAAGATTATTTACGATATATTCTCAGCTTAAAATGAAAAACACTATATAAAATCAGGGAAATAGACCATGCATCATTCATTTGTTGTGATGGTGTGAATCAATGTCTTTGATGAGATCAATGCCAATTCCCAATAGTATTAGGGGCTCTGGAATATCTTCATTTTGCTTCTCATACTCAAAAGTCCAAGTTATCCAATTCTCTTCAGCATCCAAAGTAGTACTAAGTGTCTTATACAATTCCATAAAATATCCATCAATAAACTTGAAGGTTATTCTTTTCTTTTCTTCATCTATGTGATCAATAACTTGCTTTGCCACTCTCTCTTCTCCATCTTCAAAATATTTATACAATCAGATTAATTATAAAATAATTATTTTTTAATTAATAAACTTGTAAAATTTGTAGTTGATTCGCAAATTTTTTTTTTATTATACTATCAATGTATATTATATTATGGTTGTTACCTTGATCTCTAAATTAATAATTTTGTCAGGAGTTATTCAAATGATATGAATAAGTAATTTTTTTAAGAATGTAAAATTTGTTATCTTAAATATGAGACAGGTTATTGGCTACAACAGGAAAAAGGCGATGATCTCATGTAAAAATTCTTAACAATATAACCAGGTATTCCCTCCATTACTTTTTGTTAATCCTCTACTAATGTAACACTCCTCTTGAGAAATAATTTATTATAGTTTTATTTAATTTACTAAATTATTCATATTAATTGTGCTTTGAAAATATACATTTAATTAATAATACTCCATGTAGTTACTTAATGATAAGTACTATTATATTAGAAGAAAATATAAATCTCTTTTGATTTGTTAAATGGATTATTATTTTTGTATAAGCAATACTCCCTTCGTTCACTTTTACTCTTTGTACGCTTCTTTAAAAAAAAATGAGCACATTTTATCATGATACTATATTAATTAGTGTATATTCTTAATGAATAAGGGTAAAATAATGAAAAAAGAAATTATTATTCTCTTAATATGCTATAATAATGGGACAAAAAAAATATAGTCTTAACACAATAAACAAGTAAAAGTAAATAGAGACTATATTATCTGAACATTAATAGAACAAAAATCTAAATAATAAAAAAATCTCTTTCTTTTCTATCATAAAAAATTGAACTAAATAATTTTTATTTCACCAGAAAATAAAAGTGGCTTACCATAGTTAAATCTCCATTCAACAAGAGTACCAACAGTTCCTAATTCACCTTCATTAACCTCAAAATGATTTATCTTATCACTTATAGTAGGGCTATGGTGGGGTACTGGGGTTTGGAGTTGAAATGATCATGAAATAGTTCTCCACCACACTTGACCTCTACATGAGCAACTAATATACCCCTCAAACCCATCCTCTCTTAGCAAATAGTAATAGCAATAACAATACTTATTGAAACCAAGCTTCATTGCCTTTATATAGTACCTTTTGGGTCTTTAGTAGCGGAGTTAGATATTTTACTGGGAAATGTTAAAATATAAATAAATAAAAAGATACATATAAAAAAAAAGTCAATATATAGTATCTATACATGAAATTAAATAACTTATCTAACTAAATAATGTAATTTTTCGACGAAGAAACACCCCCTTACATAAGGAGTTTTAGCCATTACGGATCCAATGATTTCTATATATATGACAAATACATATTGTCGGTCTCTTAAGCATGTCAGTAAATTCAATTTTAGATATACAGACTACGATCTATTTTGATCGAATTATCAAAATACATGATGAAATTCTTTATTAGATATTTTCGATTGAAATTTTGAAAAAGTTTTTCTCTATGTTTGCAAGTATTTATTACGTAGATCATTTTAACAACTTAAAATATGTCACCTCTTTTAATTATACTGATTAGCCTTAATACCTCATAAAACTTTAGACATGTGTTCTAATTGAAGATAATGTACTGTCTAATTAGAATAGTCAAATGAAACCCCAACCTATTAACAAATTTTCAATTACACATTTATATATTAGAGGGGTCCTATTACACCCCTTGATTATTTTAAAGTGGAATAAATAACCCCTCAAGGGCTAAGTTGGCACAGAAAATGTAGTTCACTCTTTTTGAGAGAATGAGAAGCAATAAACATGTAAAAACTTTATTATATTTATGTTATAATCAAATAATTTATATTTTTTTTCTATTTATTTATTTCTTAAAAATAAAATTACCTCCCCCTTTAATGGAGGTAATTACTCCCTCTATTTCAAATTAATTAAATTGTTGAAGTGTTTCATACCCTTTTTTAAAAAAAAAAAAGATTAAGACATAAATTAAGCATAACTTTTCATTTTACCCTTATTAATTATTGTCAAATTTATGAGTAAAATAACTAAACATTAATTAATAACTAATTCCAATACTAACTAATAAAAATTGAACAATTAAATTAATATAAAAAATTAAAAATATCTCAACAATTCAATTACTATAGTCTTAAAATAAAGTTTTGGGACCTTTCTATTATTTGTAAAAATATAATAATGGGAAACTACACAACCTATAATTTTGCTAGTTTGGTTTTTACAAGTCCAAGTAATTTGAATTTTCAAATACTTTTGATATATTTTCTTGCATCATGATGAGAACTCTCGATATATATATATATATAATTCATTTTTTTTTTTCGGATTTTGGATTTTTATTTTTCTAAATCCGAAATCGAACCAAATAAACCAAACAAAGTAAATTAGTAATCCAAAATAAAAAAAATCAATCCAAATTAGTAGTCGGTTCAATTTGGTTTGGCTTTCAATTTAATCCAAATAGTGCACACCCCTACTTTTACGTTTTCATAATTAACTTTAAAAAAATGAATTGTATATTTTATTATTATACTAACTATTTTTAATATTTTAAAAAATTAATAACTAATGTTAAGAGTAACCATGAAAAAATAATTTTCTTTTCAAATGTTAAAATGAATGAGTGAAAATAAAACATTATTTTTAATATAATGAATACATAAAGTGAATAGTGTGAGTGCTACAGGGATATAAAGTTCACGAAAGAGATTAATATTCTTTATCTTTTTATTGGTTCTAGAAGTTTTTTATATCATATATTTTTAAGGTAATCAAGTCATGTCAATTGCCAAGTAAACACATAATCTAATTTGTTTTCCTAAAATATATTGCATCATGAGAAAGGCGCAGGCAGACCTGCATCTTACAAATACTGTGTCACAGCACATGGGAACTTGCGCCTTCCTTCACAAAACTTACAGCGTCGCTCTCCTGTCCAAATGTTGCCGATTTCAACCTTATTTTTTATTGTCCTTTTTGAAATTTTAACTCAATTTTATTACCCTTTTGACTTCAGACTCCTCTTTATATATATAGGAGGAAAAAAACTACATAATACATAATCAAAGACCCCATTTTGCATTTCTCCTACATCAATATATCTTACTTCTTTCCTTCAAAATTCAAATGGTGGTAAATAAAGTTAATAATTTTTGCATAGAGTTCTTTTTAAAAAAAGAAAAGAAGAGAAAAGGTTTTATCTGAGAATAAAAAGGGATATTTTTCACCACAGAAGTGTTCACAGACAAACAATTCTTTTTAACCAAATCTGCATTACTTTAAAAAATAAGCAATAAACTGAAACAAACTCAAACTGCTTTTTGTACATCAATGAAGTAATAACTATAAAAGATGTTCCCTTAAAACCAGAATATTAATGACTCTTCTGAGGAATTACCTTTGATCTAAGTCAACAACAACATACCAGTGTAAACCCACAGGGTCTGAGGAGGATAAGATGTACGCAAACCATACCCCCTACTTTTGTAGGGTAGAGAGGTTATTTCCGAAAGACCCTCCGCTCAAAATAATGTAATGGGCACCATTCACAATTTAAGCTTCATATATTACAAAGTAGAAGTCATAATACAGGACAACATAACATTAAGCTCAGTTCACTAAGTGCCTACACATTAAAGCTAAGGAACTCGCTAATCCCGCCCCATTGTACTTCTTACACGTTGCAGGACACGAACAAACTCATGAAACAACATGAAATCTAAACTTGCATGACTATCGATATCTGCAGCTAAATTACCTTTAGAAGAGTATGTACATGGGTTCTGGCATATGATGAAATCAAAACAACCAAAGTTCTTAATCAAGACCTCTACCTTGTTACTGGCCAACTTGTGGATGTCTTCCATCTGCACGAGTTCTCCTGTTTGTCCTGAACTACTCCACCATTGCTTGAGAATTCTCCGGTTTTTCTCAGAAGCCTCTATTGAGACAACAGCTTTTAAGCGAATACCAAGGCGATGCAACGCAACTTCTGCTCCACCAATTCCGCTATATATTGACAGCACAGTCAACCCACCAGGGTACAGATGCTTCAATCCAGAGAGACAATAAGCCAATGTATCTATCTGGAAGCAATGTTTCAGTGATAGAAGTCTTTCCATCAAGCTAAATGCAGCAATTCGAGTGTGATTTTCTGGGTAGCCAAGAATACGTTCTATTTGTTCGGGCCCTACAGCTGCCAATTTGTAGCGGCCTACCCAGACTAGATTAAATATCTGGGACTGGTAGAGGATATCTCTCTGTCTGTCAACTGAAGGAAACCCCTGGGAATCACTAACTGTTTTTTCAAGCCTATCACATAGCTGAGCTATAACAGATGTCTCAGAATTGATGCCATTCAAATGTTTCCTTGTATCCCATGATGGCCACCATTTTTTACTACTGGGAACTGCTTCTTGAATCGTCATTGGTGGTTTCGGAACAATGTGAAATCGATTTTCAGTAGGAAGATTATGTACATAACCTTCTTTACGACTCAGAGCTGAGAAAAGTTGAGTATGAACAAATTCTGGCTCAATGGCATACAAAAACTGTGATATTCTTACCCAAGAGTCATGAGATAAGTTCATTACATTCCCATAAAAGAAATAGGGAGCTTTAGCCACCATCTTATCAAGGCTCCTGCATGAATTTGGCATAGATAATTTCTGTGTTTCTTGGCAATCCAGAACTCTTGATCTTTGGTGAATCGCTCTTCGATGGACTTTATAAGGCCTGGTGGTATTGAGGCCTAATATTTCTTGCCATGCAGGACCAAGGGAATTGTTAAAGGCTTCATCATACTCTGATTTCGGTCTCTTAATGTCTATCTCATCAATGTAGTTCTCCTTTGGCCGTTTCCCTTTAAGCTTTTCCAGTAGGTCAAGTTCTCTAGATTCAGAGGTATCCAGACTATATTCCTCTTTCTTAACAGCTACCGGATGAAAACCAATTGAACCATTCCTGCCAAGAGAGTTTAAGAGATGCTGCAATGCAAGCAGATGAATAAAACAAAATAAATTAAAAACGGGATTCTCAAACAGCATACCATAAGGAAAATGAGATCTCAGATAAACAAAAAGTATCAAAACATCTGCAAGTCATTTGAAAAAAATACAATAGTTTATCTAAATTAATCTAGTCATACTCTAGTTTCTACACAACTTTAAGCATCAGAGTTGCATAGAGCAGAGCATGTCAATAGATGATGAGCAAAACTGTAGTCCATGTATGAATTCTAAAACAATGCTTCATGCAAATAATCAAAGAAGAATCATCCCCAAAATTCTCTCTTCCTAATAGTTGATTTTGAACTACAGCTGCAAGCACACCACCATAGAGTTTCACTCAGGCAAAACTGTGAGTGGTCGTCGCAACTGCTTGAAACCTCTTTGATATGTTATTGTCTTATTTTTGGTAGGAACTAATTGAAGCAAGCTATCTAATCAACAAATAAGGATTTACTAAAATTGTGAGTTTTATGACATAACGAAAACAAAAAAGGAGACATAATTAATTACCTTGTCCATTCTTCTACTACTACTAGGATCTATAATCAAATTTGCAAGCTCTTCGAGAGGAACTTCAGAACCTAAAAGGCAGAAGATAAAAGCTAAATGAAGCATCCGATTAAAAAAAACTTGACTGAAAAAGAGAACTTGAAGACGCTAATGGCATATTTTACCAAATCAGAAAGGCTGCAGTAACAATATTGTGATTTCAATATGCAAACAGTTACTGGAGGAATAGACACTAGCAAAGAACATAATTTGCTCACCAAACTTCTCAATAACTGTGGAAACTTCATTCTCAGAGAAACCCATTTCAAGCAATTTCAATGTCTTCTCCATGGTTCCAAACAGAGACTCAGTTGTGCATTCCTAGACAACAAAGTTGGTATTAATCAAAGCACATAAACTCTTAATTAATGGTATTCTAACCAGGAAATAAGATATTTGGGCTCATATAATATGGAGCAGGTTAGTTATAGAAAAAATCCACTCTTAAATTACACTCAAGTCAGGAAGGATAACGAAAC